TCTTTGTCGGGGGGGTGCAAAGACCCTATAGAAAAAAACTCAAAAAAAAAAAAAAGAAGAAGAAGAAGAATCTCTTATCCTCACTATATACAACTTTGGGTGTTATCACCAAAGGTACTGTCATTGAGGTGAATGTGAGCAAGTTGGGCCTTGTGAAACAAGGAGGTAAGATTATTTGGGGGAAATATGTCCAAGTTACCAACAATCCTGAAAATGATGGATGCATAAATGCTGTTTTACTTGTTTGATAGTAGTTGCATACAAATAACTCCTTGTAATTTTTGAAGATGATACACCATCTGGAAAACCATCATGACTGATGTTTCTGAATATAGCCAGTCTTACGTGTCTGCAGTTATCAAAAGATTATTTATTAAATTGTACAAAAACATTAAAGTGGCCTGGTTTTACCAAAAAAAAAAAAAAGAGAGAGAGAGAGAGAGAGTTCTTAGATTTGACACCAAAAACATGATCCAGAGAAGGAGAAATTGATACACTAGTCTTAATCAAAATTGAAAACCTTTGCTGTGAGAAAGATCATGTTAATAATAAGAAAAGGCAAGCTACAGACTGGTAGAAAATATTAGTAAAGAAGCAGTACATAGGATATGTAAAGAACTCTCAAAACTAACAGTGTGAAAAAAAGACTATTTAGAAAATATGCAACTGAGTGCCTACAGATGGCATGGTTGTTAAGGCATTGGAGTCCCATATGACTGACCGTAGTTTGAGTCCCAGACCTAACAGTTTTCTTTCTCTCTCACTCTCTCATAAGTGTACGTGTCCTATAACAAATTAAATACTAATAATGAATAAGATTAAATAATTCTTAGAAAAAAGGAAATAGGCAAATGACATAAACATTTTGCTTAAGATGATATGGCCTAGATAGCAAATGGGCACATGAAAAAATAAATGTCAATAGCCACTAGGGAAATACAAACTAAAGCCACAGTAAAATATCACCACATATTTATCAGAATGAATGGGACCAGCAGTTGGTGTAATGGTCATGTCACTGGACTCCCATGGAGTCGAGCGTGGTTCGAGTACTGGACCTGGCAGCTTAAACTCACACCAGGCATGTGTGCGTGCATGCCCAAGATCTCGAGAGGAGAATGGAGGAGAAGGGATTACGGTGTGGCCATCGCCCCTGGAAGGTGATTTCTTGTTTTCTGTCTCTCTGTCTCTCTCTGCCTTTGTGGCAAGCACATGCCCCCTATGAAAACCCCCTCAAAAAAAAAAAAAAAAAGAATGAATAAAATTTTTTTAAAATGTGACAACACCAAATTCTGGTGAGGATAAAGAGAAACTGGATCACCCATACATTAATGGCAAGAATGTATAATTATACAGACATTCTGAAAAATATTTTCTTAGAAAATAAACATATGCTTAGAATATGAGCCAAAAATTGTACTCCTGGGCATTTTTTCCACAGAAAGTAAGGTTTATGTTTACACAAAAGCCTGTACACAGGGAACCAGAAGTTAGCGTAATGGCTATGTCGCTGGGCTCCCACGTAGTCGACCGTGGTTCGCGTCCCGGACACGGTGGCTTAAAACTCATGTCGGGCACGTGTGCATGCATGCCCAAGATCCCAAGAGGAGAATGGAGGAGAAGGGATTGCAGCGTGACCATCCCCCCTGGGGGGTGATTTCTCGCTTTCTGTCTCTATGTCTCTCTCTGTCTGTCTGGCGAGCGCACACGCCCTATAGCAAAAACCTCTCAAAAAAAAAAAAAAAGAAAAGAAAAAAAGCCTGTACACAGATGTTTACAGCAGGTTTATATATGATATTCCTAAACTGGAAGCAACCCAGATGTCTTAAAAACAAGTGAATGTTAAACAAACTACAGTAAATTCATATCATGGAATACTATTCAGCAATAAAAAGGAGTGTAATTTTGATACTGGCAACAGCTTGGATGAATGTCTACTTTCCTCATTTGTAACAATGAGGAGATTGTCTTGAGGGATATTTAGTTTGGCAATTTAAGATACAAGTGAGTAAGGTGGAGCAGGATGAGAGCATATATATATTTTTTTAATTTTTTTAGAGGTTTTTGTTTTTTGTTTTGTTTTGTTTTGTTTTGTTTTGCTATAGGGCACGTGTGCTCTCCAGACAGACAGAGAGAGAAATAGAGACAGAAAGTGAGAAATCACCCCCCGGGGGGATGGTCACATCGCAATCCCTTCTCCTCCATTCTCCTCTCAGGATCTTGGGCAGACATGCACACGCACCCGGTGTGAGTTTTAAGCCACCGGGTCCGGGACACGAACCATGGTCAACTACGTGGGAGTCCAGCCACATAGCCATTACGCTAACTGCTGGTTCCCAGGATGAGAGCATGTTTGAAAGAGGTTAGGTAGGGCTCTTTTTCCCAGAACTTTAGAGATTCAAAATAATCAGAAAGAAGTGGTTAGATGAATGCTGGCTGTGGTGATTCACATGCACCCTAGGGATCCCAAATTGGGAGCTGGGGGCCCAGGAGAAGGGGAATTTGGGGTAGGTGTATTCTATTAGCACAAGCCAAAAGATCTACTTAGGTGTAATGAGTGGCTCTAGCCTATTGCCTTTTTACACTAAGATGAGATGGGATAAATTTGAAGTGTCAGTTGAAAGGATGTATTCCCAGGAGTGTAAAGAAATGTCTAGTTTTGACACAAAGATTAAAGATCCACTGGCCAAGGGACTGGAGGAAGCCACAATGTCTTCTGAATGCTATGAGCAATACTGAGGTCAGAGCATATTCAGCCAATTAGATAGCAATATTCAGCCAATTATGTAGCATTTGTCCTGTGATTTTTTTTAAAGAATTATTTATTTTGTTTGATTTTTATTTGTTATTGTTATTTTAATTTGACTAGAGAGAGAGAGAAAGAGAGAGAAAGGGAAATTGAGAAAGCAATCCGCCAAGTCCAAGACTCACCACAGTCGGCCATGTGGGAGCCGCCTGCCCTTAACTGCCAAACCATCTGCTGGCCTGTCCTGTGGTTTTCAATCATGGTCAGTTTCTTCTTTTTATCCAGACTTGGAAATGAAATAGACAGTATTTAAATTCAATTGCTATACACATTGTTGAATGGCAGAATATTAGCAACCATGTTTAAATCACCCGCCTAAGACCCAAAGCACAAGTTCCTACTGGCTCTGTAGGGACCTAGTCATGGTCACCTAACAGCCAATCCAAATGCTGGGGCATATTGGGTGGGGACGTAGCCATGGAGAGACAAAGACCAATAGCAGAGTGGGCTGTGATAGGCTGAAGGCAACCCCACTGTGACGTGAACAGGTGGTGACTAGCTCAGGCTGAGAAACTTGTTCAGTGGCTCTTAGCAGTAGCTGACTCATTAAGGTCACCAAACTTCAGTTCCTGCCTGTCAATAAACATCATGGAAGATCCACAGAATGAATATCAGCGGATGACACGACGCCACCACCGCGAAAAGAAAGAACTACAGATGCGTATTCAGAGCATGAAAAACTCAGTCCCCAAGAGCGACAAGAAAAAAAGAAAGCAGTTGCTTCTAGACGTGGCCCGCCTTGAGGCTGAGATGGAGCAGAAGCACCAGCAGGAACTGGAGAAGTTTCAAGACAGCTACCCTGACTACGGCGACATTGGTTCTATCACTGACGATCTGGCCAAAATGGATCTCGAGAACCAGCCTCCTCGAGTCTGCAGGGCACAGAAAAGGCGAGAAAGACGGGCAGCCCTCCATAGAGAGCGCCTGGAGAGGATCGCAGAGGTCGAGATGGAGCACGTGGAGAGGCTGAGTTGTGAGGAGGAGAAGAAGCTGGCGGTCATCTTGCGAGCCAAGAACCTGAAAATGAAGGCTATCCCAGCCGACGGCCACTGTATGTACCACGCTATTCAAGACCAGCTGGTGTTCTCCACGACCGTGGAGAACCTACGATGTCGCACCGCGGAGTACATGCAGAAACATATCGACGACTTCTTGCCCTTCTTCAGTGACCCTGACACCGGTACCGCCTACACCCGCGACGACTTCATAAACTATTGTGAAGAAATTGTGCATAGTGCGTCGTGGGGAGGCCAGCTGGAGTTGAGGGCCCTGTCACACATCCTGCAGACCCCCATCGAGGTGATACAGGCCGATTCACCCGTCGTCGTTATAGGGGAGGAGTACAGCAAGAAGCCGATCACCCTCGTCTACCTACACTACGCCTGCAACCTAGGGGAGCACTACAACTCAGTGATGCCGCTGAAGGTCTGCGCTGCGGGGGGGAGCGGGTGGCCCAGTCGGCTGCCCAGTTGGCGGTGCAGAGGGTGGCGCGGTCAGCGGAGCAGTTGGTGGCGTGGCCAGGTGTCTCTACTAGTCCTCGTCTCACCTCAGAGCGCTGTGGTAGTGGTGGCAGTGGCTGTCGCCATCGCTGCAACTGCTGCAATTGCATTTGGAAAGAAGCAGCTACTATGTCTCCTCAGTAGGCCCTATTTGATTTTCTGTGTTTCTGCTTTTACTCAAATTTCCATCCCACCCCCTTCCCCACCCTTGCCCTGGCTTTCTTACTGCCATCCTTCTCTCCTCTTCTTCCTTTGTTGCTTCTTTCAAGGGGTGGGGGACGGAAAAGTGATTAGGAGGAAAATACCTGCTTTGTATAACCCAAGGGGCATAACTTTAATAAACTCCGGCACCTTAGCACCTCGGCTCCTTCTTGCCTGTGAGGGTCTTTGCCTCCCACTCACATACTAAGAATTGCTCATGTTTCAAATAACTTTGGGATAAACACTGACTTGGTTTGACACATTCTGAACTTGGGGAAACATTTAGTAGAATGGCTGGAAGTCTACTTAATTTCCAGTGAATCTATCATCTTAGATAAAGTTGGAATTTGCAATCAAAATGCTTTGTGAATGTCTTTTGTTGCATTTCTTGAAAAAAAAATCATGGGCCAGTTTTTGGTTTGCCTTTTATTTAAGCTGGGCTACTCAAGAGACATCTCCAGTACAAACTAGAGCTTCTCTAGTACTTTGTTTTGTTTTTTTCCTTCAAAACTTGTGATTCCAAATTAATTTTAGTTCAGATGTTTTCTAAATTGTAAATAAAAGTGTTTGTTAAACTTAGAAGGTAAAATGCAAGTGTTAAATGTAGAAAGTAAATTTAGATAAGCTGATAGACTAGGTAAGGTTTATTCTTAAGATGTGAAAGATCTGGACTTAATTTCCTTTATTAAAGGTATAAAAAAATATGATTATTCAAGTATCAATAGTTGATCTATTTTGTTATCAGTACAACTGGTAAGAGGCAAAAAAGTAAAAGAAAAAACAATAGGTAGTTTTACTATAAGAACTAAAGATCTTTTTTTTTCTTTTTTAAGAATTATTTTTTAATATTTTTATTTAATTCCATTTGTCAGTATTATTATTATTTTTAATTTGACCAGAGAGAGAGAGAAAGGAAAAGTGAGAAAGCAAGCCACCAAGTCTGGGACTTGAATAGCAGTCGACCATGTGGGACTTAACCACCAGGCCACCTGCTGGCCCCTTATTTATTTATTTTAATTTGACCAGAGAGGGACAGAGAGAGAGAGATAGGAAAAGTGAGAAAGCAAGTCACCAGGTCTGAGACTCGAACCATGGTCAGCCATGTGACATTCCAGCACCCTTAACCACCATGTCACCCGTCAGCCCCTGGACTGAAGATCTTAATCTAAAAACTTCTCTTAATTCTTAGAGTTATAAAAGTCTTAAAGGTTTTCAAAAGTATTACAGTAGTTGATCCATTGTATTTTACCAACTTGTATGAGGCAAAAAAAAAAAAGTGCAAATAATATGTGAGACTTGTCATTATCTTGAATTTGCCAAAAGAATGGTGAAAACAGAATGATTTGCCATAAGCAATTCTAAAAAAAAAAAAAATTAAACTTCAGATCCTAAATATTTGGGGGGAAGGTTTTACGCTATAGGGCGCATGCGCTCGCCAGACAGACAGAGAGAGACATAGAGATAGAAAGCGAGAAATCACCCCCGAGGGGCGATGGTCACGCCGCAACCCCTTCTCCTCCATTCTCCTCTCGGGAAGCCACCAGCTCCAGAACGCGAACCGTGGTCTACTACGTGGGAGTCCAGCGACATAGCCATTACGCTAACTGCTGCGTCCCCAGATTCTATATTTAAGTGAGGTTGTTTAAATTTTAAAATTCTTTCCACATTATAAATGCTGTAAAATAACATACATAGGTTCAAAAGATTAGAAACTAATAACAGTATTTGCTAGTTCACATAGAGTCTTTATTCCAAGATTTACTTCAGCAAAGGAATCTGGGAGAGTTAGGGAGCAGGATCTGGGGGTGGCTGGGGAACAGATATGAGACTTTGGGGAGGAGAAATGGACCTGTAGTCTTGGTTGTAGTCTAGAATGGAGTTATTTCTCATGGAAGAATTTAGAGAGGAACTTTTATCTTGAGGCTGTCCCTACTCAGTGAAAAACATCATGAAATGGTTTCATTAAGCTTGTTCTCATCGCTGTGTATCCAAAAAAAAGAACCCCCATTACCAAGACCTTTGAGGATAATACTGTAGGAGGCAAAAAAAGTGCCACTGTGTTTTCTTCTGGGTTATTACCAGAATGCAAATATTGTCTTCCTGCCAGATAGAGCACTGTTGTAAATATGTGTATCAGATAATGTTCAGGTAGCCAGCTGACTGAGAAGAGGAGGACTCTGAGAAGACCTGGTATTTGGGTACACTGAGAAAAGATAGTCTTTTGTAGGGGTGGGAACACTGGCTGGGGAAGGGATAATGGGTAGGGAGGAAAGGGGGTAGGCTGCAGGAAGGGGACTAGACAGGAGAAGGGAAAATAGGCCAGGACAAAAGATGTAATTTACAAAAGGGGGCCTGGCTGATAAGGAGGGTGCAAGTTGGGGATAAGATAGCCTGGGAAGACAAAGGAGGCATGGTGGGACAAAGTGAAACAGACTGAGGGACACAGGTCAAACAAGGAGGCTGGCTGGGGAATTAGAAGATAGGTAGTAAAGAGAAGGAAACCTGCATGGGATCTGGGGCATAGGCTGAGGAGGGGGCCCTGGATGGGGACATGGGCAAAGGAAAAATGCTCTACTGGGGTAGGCTGCATAGTCAGGGAGGGTGTCACAAGCTAAAAAGGGGGGCCTGGCTATCATAGGGGACCTTAATAGACAAGGGGACCAGATGGATGGGGAGACACAGGCTGGAAAAGAAGGGTGACTGGCAAGAGAAGGGGTCCAAGCTACAGACAGGGAGGTAAGCTGGTGAAGGGTTCTTGGTAGGGGAAGGTGACCCAGCTGGGGTGTATTCTACAGGGAAGAAAAGGGAGCCTGGTTTGGGAACTGGACTACATTCTGGGGAAGGAGTCCTAGGAAAGGTGAGTTTGAGTGAGGAATAGGGCAGGAAACATGGTTGGGGAAAAAGGAACTGGATGGGATGCCAAAGAGTTTTGGGTGGGGGAAAAAGGCACTGGCTATAGAAGGAATAGTCTGGTGAAGGGGTAACCCACTCAGGCAAGAGGCCTAGTGGGAAGGTACTGCAGATGATAAAAGGGTTCATGGCTACTGAATGGAGAAATGCCCGAACCAAGCTACCTGGTTAGGCAAGGGTGCTTGCTGAGGAATGGGGTCTAGAAGGCAAAGGGGCCTTCCTGGGGAAAGAAGCATTGGCTGGAGAACAAGATCTGGAAGAGAGTAGGGGAGCAGGAAGGAGAAGAGGACTGGATAGGGGAGATAGCCAGACTAGTCCTTCTCCGGTGAAAACAGAATGATTTGCCATAAGCAATTCTAAAAAAAAAAAAAATTAAACTTCAGATCCTATATTTTTGGGGGGAAGGTTTTACGCTATAGGGCGCATGCGCTCGCCAGACAGACAGAGAGAGACATAGAGATAGAAAGCGAGAAATCACCCCCGAGGGGCGATGGTCACGCCGCAACCCCTTCTCCTCCATTCTCCTCTCGGGAAGCCACCAGCTCCAGAACGCGAACCGTGGTCTACTACGTGGGAGTCCAGCGACATAGCCATTACGCTAACTGCTGCGTCCCCAGATTCTATATTTAAGTGAGGTTGTTTAAATTTTAAAATTCTTTCCACATTATAAATGCTGTAAAATAACATACATAGGTTCAAAAGATTAGAAACTAATAACAGTATTTGCTAGTTCACATAGAGTCTTTATTCCAAGATTTACTTCAGCAAAGGAATCTGGGAGAGTTAGGGAGCAGGATCTGGGGGTGGCTGGGGAACAGATATGAGACTTTGGGGAGGAGAAATGGACCTGTAGTCTTGGTTGTAGTCTAGAATGGAGTTATTTCCCAGGGAAGAATTTAGAGAGGAACTTTTATCTTGAGGCTGTCCCTACTCAGTGAAAAACATCATGAAATGGTTTCATTAAGCTTGTTCTCATCGCTGTGTATCCAAAAAAAAGAACCCCCATTACCAAGACCTTTGAGGATAATACTGTAGGAGGCAAAAAAAGTGCCACTGTGTTTTCTTCTGGGTTATTACCAGAATGCAAATATTGTCTTCCTGCCAGATAGAGCACTGTTGTAAATATGTGTATCAGATAATGTTCAGGTAGCCAGCTGACTGAGAAGAGGAGGACTCTGAGAAGACCTGGTATTTGGGTACACTGAGAAAAGATAGTCTTTTGTAGGGGTGGGAACACTGGCTGGGGAAGGGATAATGGGTGGGGAGGAAAGGGGGTAGGCTGCAGGAAGGGGACTAGACAGGAGAAGGGAAAATAGGCCAGGACAAAAGATGTAATTTACAAAAGGGGGCCTGGCTGATAAGGAGGGTGCAAGTTGGGGATAAGATAGCCTGGGAAGACAAAGGAGGCATGGTGGGACAAAGTGAAACAGACTGAGGGACACAGGTCAAACAAGGAGGCTGGCTGGGGAATTAGAAGATAGGTAGTAAAGAGAAGGAAACCTGCATGGGATCTGGGGCATAGGCTGAGGAGGGGGCCCTGGATGGGGACATGGGCAAAGGAAAAATGCTCTACTGGGGTAGGCTGCATAGTCAGGGAGGGTGTCACAAGCTAAAAAGGGGGGCCTGGCTATCATAGGGGACCTTAATAGACAAGGGGACCAGATGGATGGGGAGACACAGGCTGGGAAAGAAGGGGGACTGGCAAG